CGCACGGACAGGGTTAAATCGTCATAGAATTTTACGCGGATCAAGAATATATATACTTTGTCATGTCTAAAATCATTATTTCGATTAGTTACAAGCGGAATGACGAAACTCAATATAACCTCCATACTATGTATGGTGGAGGGAATAAAATATTGTAATCAGCTGGTAGCTCTACCTTACCTTTTTATGGTACTTCACCATTTGGCAACTTCTCTCTTATATCTAGATTTCAAAAATATTTCAAATTCCATATTTTTTTTTTTTTTTCAATAAAATATTTTTTCCCAAAAATCTCCTTTCGGAATTTCTTTCTCTCGCAAAAATGAAATTAAATTGTTTTCACATCATTCCAAGGTATGGAAATAATAATAATGTTGTCCCATCCGGAATATTTAAAATTTTTGATGCAAGTCAAGGCATTCCACTTACTCCCTAGTCCATATAATCACCATTATTACTAATGACTGTCAGTTATACTGGCATTTTGGCCAAACATTTCACTGAAGTGTTCTCCTCTGTTCTGTTTACATTTTAATTAAATTTCATACAAATATGCATTTCAATTCATTCATTACCTTGGCCCGTTTCGAGTCTAAGCGCGAGGCGGGCGGTGAGGATGTTTAATGGTTGCCATTTTTAAACGTCCCACTGCCTACCTTGCTGGTTGGAAGAGTGTGGCCAGCTCAGCTTTTTTTCTTATGCTTCTTGCTCCATTTTTTTTTATTTTCGGGGTAGCCTTATATTAATCGGCTAAAAGCTGTAATTTATTAGCATCTTTCTTGCCTGGTGTTTATCTATGTAAGCCTTATTCTTAGTTTCATCTTCTCAGGAGAAGTAGCAGCCAGCCAGTCAGCTATCCAGCTAACCAACAGTAGCCACATCAGCAGCAAATAATATAACGACGACAACAACAAGAACAACAACAACCACCACCATCATCAGTAAGATGTAAACTGGAAACTTTCTACTCCATTTGGAATTTTTGCAATTTGGCCAAAAACATCAGTGCTGGCGTCCACCAGGACCTAAAAGAACAAGAAGAAGAAGAAACCCGATGTTGATGGTGTTGGTATGCAAGAACAAATATCCTACTTTAGCAAAGCGGGTAAGCAGTTTCATGCAGTTTTCTACAACAAACATGATTCTGATGATGATGCTGCAGCTGCTGATATCGTTGTTGTTGGTGTTCTTTTTTTTTGTTGCATTTGTTTGTTCCATTTCCACTGTTTGTTGTTACCTGTATCTAATTTGAAGCCAAAAACTTTTCTATTTCTTGGTGCCTTCTTTTCGTTATCGTGACGGCGTAGCAAAGCAAACGAAACGTCGTAGTACAAATAGTGCAAACAGCAGCTATAAGACAACGACAACAACAACAACAATAGCAACAACAGCAAATGAAACGAAGTGAAGCGTAGAAGTTACCTAAAGGTTTTAGCCTCACTCACTCACTTTACTTTCAAATGTAAGCAGCTACTGTGTGAGAATGTCTGCAATATTTTCTTAAATTTGCAACTGCCTGAAAGTATGCAATCAGCTATAACCGTGCACACCTGTGTTTGCCAGTTTTGCTTTCCATTCGAGTTTGGGGATTAGTGTAGGTGAAACTGTTATGAAAACCGGGTTGTTTTGAAAGAAATAATTCCTTTTCCTGGAACTGCAATAATGGACATAATTTTACTATGATAACCGACTTTTGTAAATACACCTTGGTTAAAGCCAATCAACGTTATTTAATGGAGATCGGAAGCATTATATTAAAATACTTCACAAAATAGGGGACATAAAGTCGACTTTCGTATTTTTAAAATGGAAACCGACTTTTGAAATTCGACATATAAAAAAGCTTTAAGTTCGGCCAGGCCGAACTTTGAATACCCTCCACCATTTGGTACAAATTTGCCAATTTTCAAAAAAAAAAAAAAAAAAAAAAAATCCGTTAAAATCTTTTTAAAAATCTTGAAAATACCAAATGTAGCCGTATATTAGGGCCTATACGACGACGTGGACCTGCATAGGTAACTCTTGTCATAGGCTGTAGTATTCATTACGAACTTCAAATACCAAATTTGAAATAGTTTCGGTAAATAATGTCGCTAAAATCAACAAAATACCGAATATCGAGGGGTACCGTTATATGGATGCTATACGAAGACGTGAACCTGTACAGACAATTTTCTGTCATAGGCTATAGCATACATTACGAACTTCAAATACCAAATTTGAAACAATTCCGATGAATAACGTAGCTAAAATCATCAAAATACCGAATATCGGGAGATATATGGAGGCTATACGAAGATGGGGACCTGCACAGACAACTTTCTGTCATAGGCTGTAGTATCCATTACGAACATAAAATACCAAATTTGAAACAATTCTGGTGGATAACGTAGCAAAAATCATCAAAATACAGCATATCGGGAGGTACCGCTATATGGAGGCTATACGAAGACGTGGACCTGCACAGACAATTTTCTGTCTTAGGCTGTAGTATCCATTACGAACTTCAAATACTAAATTTGAAACAATTCCGATGAATAACGTAGCTAAAATCATCAAAATACCGAATATGGGGAGGTACTGTCAAATGGGGACTATACGAAGATGGGGACCTGCACAGACAATTTTCTGTCATAGGTTGTAGCATCTATTACGAACTTCAAACACCAAATTTGAAACGATTCCGGTAAATAATGTCCCTAAAATCATCAAAATACCGAATATCGGGAGGTACCGTTATATGGGAGCTATACGAAGACGTGGCCCTGCACAGACAATTTTCTGTCTTAGCCTGTAGTATCCATTACGAACTTCAAATACTAAATTTGAAACAATTCCGGTGGATAACGTAGCTAAAATCCCCAAAATACCGAATATCGGTAGGTACCGTTATATTGGGGCTCTTTGAAGACGGGGACCTGCACAGACAATTTCCTGTCATAGGCTGTAACATCTATTACGTACTTCAAATACCAAATTTGATACAATTCCGGTGGATAACGTAGCTAAGATCATCAAAATACCGAATATCGGGAGGTACCGTTATATGGGGGCTATACGAAGACGTGGACCCACATCACCCATTTCCAATACCAAAGGTCCTGCAGACATAATACACATTTGAGTAAATTTTTATCAACTTACTTCATTTCGTTCGAAAGCTAGAGTGGTTTCAGACGGACAGACATTGCTAAATCGACATGGAATTTTATGCTGATCAAGAATATACTTTGTGGGGTCTAAAATGTATATTTCGAGGTGTTACAAACGGAATGACAAACTTAATATACCCTCCATACTATGGTGGAGGGTATAAAAATTAAACTGAATATTTACAATACCCTTGAAACTACTTAACCTAAATTAAGTGAGCTGGGCGGTGTTTTACAACAGTCTACTCTAATCCGAGGCTTAAAATCTCTTATGGAAGAAAAAGACACCGTGGAGTAAGCCCAGCTCGTTCAGCCTGGCAAGGACAGCAGGAGGCAAATGCTTTCAAGCTCGAAGATGGTCCTCATCCTTAAAGCACCTTAACATAACCTTAACGATGCTATTATCTATGATCTGCCATTTGTATATTGGTGGGAATACATAAAGCGCTTATTTCGCTGGCTTCTTAGTAGAGGAACAAAGGCGTTGTAGGTTGATTTAGTTCGATTTTGGCCCTTGGCTCCTTTGTTAATTTCCGAAGAAGCCAGCCGATGACTTAAGCCAGCCAAATAAGCGCTTTATGTATTCCCATCTTAAGAATGCCAGTCCAGTCTTCATCATAAAGACGTCTACCCTGTCTACATATTTGCACCCTGTCGTAGAACGACCTATAAGAATGGCCTCCTTAGGAACCATCTGCCCTACGGAGACCAAGACAAGAGGAGAGTATTTTTCTTTCCCACACCCTTAGCCTTTCCATCGGATGAGACGAAATGTCAAAGCAGGCGGGGAAGGCATATGCGACGATAAGTCTGATTACCTGCCGGTAGATCAAAAGCCTAATATCGTGGGAAAGACCACCCCTCATCCTCAATATTTGACTATATCCGAAATACAGACCCTTAGCTCTAGACAGGACGAAGTCTATTTGTCGAATATAATCGAACCTCTCCTGAAATACTACCCCTAGGTATTTCATATTATCAGACACGGGAACCTGCTCCGAGCCCATTTTAAAAAACCTTCTAAAATTAGGTTGAACTATTTCCGGCCGACTGTAGCACAAAATTTCCCTACATTCAACGTTAGGCGCCATGTAAAAAAGTACCGGTGGAGGACATCGGGGTAGTCGGTTACGCGCCTATTGACCGACCTAGCAAGCAGATCAGACACGGGAACCTGCTCCGAGCCCATTTTAAAAAACCTTATAAAATTAGGTTGAACTATTTCCGGCCGACTGTAGCACAAAATTTCCCTACATTCAACGTTGTAAAAAAGTACCGGTGGAGGACATCGGGGTAGTCGGTTACGCGCCTATTGACCGACCTAGCAAGCAGAAGGGAACAAGGCCGAGAGTACATAAAAGGTTTTTTTTTGACTGGCTTAAGTCATCGGCTGGCTTCTTCGTAGAGAAACAAAGGAATTTCGATTTCGGCCCTAGGCCCCTTTGCTCTTTTCCGAAGAAGCCAGCCGATGATTTAAGCCTTGCATAAAAGCGTACGTACTCTTATGGTGTAAACATATAGACCATCTGGTATATCATGGTGTTGTCAATGTGTGTTTGATATTTTCTCTTAGTTAAAAAAAAAACCGGTTCCCAAAAATCTTCTGAGCACTAAAGGCTTAACGGCATTCACACTATCTTTTAATATCTGCCCAAGAAAGAAAAGAAAATCTTGAAGAGAACGGGTTGTATGTGATGGCCTCATCTAGCTAATTTTCCTTAACATTCGATTCAATTCGGAATGGTCGTTGTTGTTTTTTTCTTGCAACTGTTTTTCTTTTTCACTTTTCTCCCGGATAAACGGAGAAAAGCTGGCGAATGCATATTTGTATGCATTTAATTTGTGTTTTATTTTGAAATTTTCATTTTGGCATTTACGTTTACGTTTTCGTTTTTTTCTCTTTTCGTTCTATAAATATGCATGGATTCTACGGCCAGGTGAATGCCAACCAGCCTTCTTGCTTGCCATTTCAAACTGTTTTTTTCATTTGCTGGCATTTTGGCCATCCAATGGGGCTGTCGGCTTGGACGTTTTCTTGGCGTTGTCTGAAAGAACGAAAAAAAAAAAATAAGAAGAGTTGCTTACTTTAGAAAGGATCACATATAAAATGATTAAAATATTGCTTCGAAAGCGTTTATGCCAGTGTTTTCATTACCAAAATGGCGTTTCGTCTTCCCGCCAGCGTTAGTAGTTTGAAATATTTGCATACATTTGAATGCAGAATTGAATGTTTGGAAATGAGAAATTTTTCAAATAATGAGAAAGTTTCATATTAGAAATTGATAATGGGAAGTTGGTAATTGTTTGGGAAGTGGTAAACGGATAAATGGAAACTATTTGAATCTGTAAATAAATTAACTTTGTGGCTAACTACAATAATCCATAATAATGGGTACGTATATCGAATGCAGAAGTTCACTTTTGCTTTTAAAGAAATACCGATTGGCCTCACTTAATAGAAATCGAATTCAGTCGAAAATCGTTTTTGTCTGATAAAACCATCTCGAAAGACCGAAAATTCGCCTTTTTCAATGATGGAAAAAATTTTAAGGTCTAGAGGGGCAGTTATATGAAGGTAAGAATAAATAAAACGCTTTTTTGAATGGCTTAAGTCATCGGCTGGCTTAATTTTAGGTTGACTTAGTTCGATTTTGGCCCTACGCTCAAGCCAACCGATGACTTAAGCCAGTCAAAAATGCGTTTTATGTATTCTCACCTTAAAAGCTGAATGCAGGCTTTAGACATAGACTTGCTTCTTCGTAAATGAACGAAGTAGTTTTAGGTTGACTTAGTTCGATTTTGGTCTATAATTTATATTTGTACATCCTTCGAGTCTTTGTTCTATTACGAAGAAGTCAGCCGACGACTTAAGCCAGCAAAAAAAAAAAAAACTGGCGGGTAGCTTAAAAGTTATCGTTCTATTGGCGCCCAAATGTGCAACTTCCCAAAAGAGTATTTTGAAGTTTACATGATTCTCGCCTAGCCGACACAAACTGCGCCGCAATTATGATACCTACCAAAGAGTCAAACATTCGTCCTTTTCATCTTAAGTTTATAGAATTAAAATAGGTTTTAAACTGAATGAAAAGACTAGAAATAACGAAAAGAGGACTTTGAATGGCTGGCGCCCAAACACTGGGTTTCCATACAAATTTTAAAATTTACCCAAAGAGTTACACGATTCCCGATTTGACGGCTTCAACTTTGGTTCGTCAACATCGAAACACGATGAGTAGCTAATCGCCAATTTGGAATCACCCAGAGAACTCTTAGAGATGGCTATTTATCTACAGAGTCCAGTCTTTTTCCGCAGGTATCAGCTGGAGGATCAGTTATATGGGCTTCACTTTTCTCTTGGTAAGTGGTTGAGGGCATTATTATGCCTCATCTGCTCTATGGGTCACAGAATCCGGTCGAGAATGTCACTCCACCTCGACAATGAAACTTCAAACCCAACACTGCTAGTGATAATCTGATGGACAGCTTTCTCACTGTGTGAAACGAGGTATATTCACCTCTTCCATTTTGGAATTAATGGATAGCTTCGGACAAGCCTTGTGTCTATGGTTGTTGCGGATAATCACAAGGAGTCTTAAAATCTCCGTCTCAGAACTTCGAATAGGTTGCCTATTTAGTTTGAAATTTTCACGGACAAAATCAATAAAGATCTGCGATGATGAGACAGAGATTTAAAATTAACAGTGATTATCCGTAGTCTTCAAAGACTCAGGTCGAGTCCTAAGGTATTAACTAGATGATAATTTCACCATTTATTTTTAGGTAGAGCACTATCTTACGCATCTGTTGCTCTATGGCTTAATAATGCCACTTCACATCGAGGACTCAACTCCGACACCTACGTTTACCAGTACTATTTTAATGGACAGCTTTTCCATATCAATAAACCTCTTCCGTTTTGAAACTAAGGAATAACAAATATTTAGTTTGAAAGTGCCCCGGACAAAGATCAAAAAGATCTGACATGAAGAGACTTAAATTTAAAAGTATCTGTGAATTCCATACAACCTGCGAAATAAGGAATTAGTATCAGTTTTGATCCCATGCATCTGGGACTGGTTTCACCAGGTGTCAAACATACGCGATTAAATCTGTGCAGACCAAAGGACATCGAAATTCCTCCACAGACCCAGGTAAAGCCCTTAGGTATCAAACACACGATCATTTTTTTAGGTAAGGGATAAAGCACTTCCTTACTCATCTGCTGCGCTATGGGTTAATAATGCCACTTTACATCGAGAATGCAACTCCGACACCTATATTTTGCAGAGGTACTCTTATGGATAGTTTCCTCACATCAAGAAACCAGACCTAATTACCTCCTCCGTTTTGGTAATAACGAATGGCAACATATTTTGTTTGAAAGTGCCCTGGACAAATATCAAAATAATTTGACATGAAGAGACCGAGATCTATGAGTACCTGTGATTCTCCAAAACCGTTTAAAGAATTATTTTCAGTTTCGATCCAGTACAGCCTAGAATCGTTGTCCCCCGAACTGCAAAACATTTTTTTTTTTTGAAAATTTATCATCATGTTCTATATTAATGAACCCTAGATAGACCCTTGCTGGCAACCCTAACAAATCTCAAAGGACACTTGAAGAGCTTGGCAGCATACTGAGAAGCCCAGATGCCTCACTTTTTATACCCTCAGCCATATGGCTACAGAGGGTATATATCATTTGATACGGTCAAAAGTGCCCAGTCGAAATAATTGTTTTAGACCCTAGGTCTCTTTAGACCAAATCCGTTTCAGAACATTTGGAGTCGATCTACCGATGTCCGTCCGTCCGTCTGTCTGTCTGGCTGGCTGGTGCGCACGATAACTCTCGAAGGGAGTATCCAATTTGATTCAAACTTGGTACATCGTAATATTTTTGTCAAACTTAGATCGAGTTCGGAGATGGGCAATATCGGCCCACTCCTTCTGGTACCACAAAAGATCGAAATTTTCAAAAAATATTTTTTGCACAAAAAGAGAAACGATAATCCGATTTTGCTCGAACTTAAATACTCATATTATACAAATACTCATATTTTCATCAGTGCTAGGTCATGTGCGAAAAAAGACAATATCGGTCCACTCCATCAAGTACCTCCCCCACAAAGGGTCAAAATTTTGAATAATTACAACTCTTATAAAATGTGATGTAAGAGTCCGATTGTCTTCAAATTTCACACATCCCAGTATTTTTATTAACACAAGGTCTGGTGTTAAGAGGCAATACATCGGTTCACTTCTTTTGGAACCTCCCCCACAAAAGTTCAAAATTTTCAAAAAATATATATAATATATTTTTTGCACAGAAAGAGAAACGATTAGCCGATTTTGCTCTAACTTTGCAAATCCTAATATTTGCGTCAGTGCTAGGTCGGGTGCGATAATGGACAGTATCGGTCCACTCCATCAAGTACCTACCCCACAAAGGGTCAACATTTTGAATAATTATAACTCTGAAATAATGTGATGTAAGGATCCGAACATCTTCAAATTTCACACATTTCAGTATTTTTATAAACCCAACCCTGGTATTAACATGGGATGTATCGGACCACTCCTTCTGGTACCTCCCCCACAAAGTGTCGAAATACCTATAAGCTCATAAAACGCCAAATTAACATCAGATTCCATTTCTTCTCCCCCATACATAGGATTCAAGATTTTGAAAAACAAAACACTCAAATAAAGCGAAATATATATGAGTCGATATAATCCATACCAGGAAAGTCGGAATATTTATATCCTATTATTGGGTCCGATACGAAATGGACAATATTGGCCCATTCCTTCGGAACTTGCTCCATAGAGGGTCAAACGTTTGAATAATAGTAACACTAGTCAAATTATATTTAAATAATCGAACACAGGCTGAGGGTATATATCTGTCGGCAATACCGACTGATACTTTTTAACTTGTTTTAATTCAGTTCAAGGCTTTCAAAGATGGATATTGAAAGTTGGTTGTTAGACAATTATCCTTTCTTTGTCACGTATTTCTTCCTTACAGCAATGACACAAACTTTCTTACCTTAGACTTCGACAGAATGAGCCTGAGTCTCAACAAGCATGGACAAGTCATCAGCAGATATACCCTTCCTGGCAACCTTAACAAATGTTAGACAATAATCTCTTCAGTAGCATTGTCACGAATTCCTTCCTTATCGAATAGATTTATTTCTACAACCCATTTCAGAATGAGCCTGAGCCACCAGCAAACGAAGCCAACGAAATCAGCAAAGTTTCATCATCATCATGTTCTATATAAATGGACCCTTGCGGGAAGCCCACTGAAAGTCGCAAATGCCTCATTTCTTGTAATTCAGTTCAAGGCCATCAAAGATGGAAATTGAAAGTTGGTTATTAGACACGCATCCCTTCAGTAGCTTGTCACGTCTTTCTTCCTTGCAGCAATGGCACAAACTTTCTTGTCTTAGACATCGGCAGTATGAGCCTGAGTCTCAACCACCATGAGCAAGTCATCAGCAAAGGCCAAGCTAAACTTCTACGGTATACAATTCATCATCATGTTCTATATAAATGGACCACAGATACACCCTTCCTGGCAACCCTAATAAATGTTAGACAATAGTCTCTTCAGTAAAATTGTCACGAATTTCTTCCTTAAATTGACAATAGAGATCTTTCAAGAACCCACTTTCGAATGAGAAAAACCAGTAAAGAAAGTCCTAAAGTCGGGCGGGGCCGATTTTATGATACCCTACACCACTTTGCTAATTTAGTTGAGCTCCACTTAATAATTAAAAGTTTTTATGGGAGAATTCAATCATACACGCCATGATTATAATTATAATTTAAAGTTCAAAGGACTAAATATGCCGAAGCATTTGTATCTTTTAAATTCGGACTTGTATTGCCCATTTGGTGCACAATTAATTTGAAATCGGATAAAGATATATATGGGAGCTATATCCAAATCTGAACCGATCTCGATAAAATTTGGCAAGGATATTTTTGAGCTGTATTTTATATATTTCCCTGAATATCGTTGTTACGGAGTGCATAT